TCTAAGAATGAAGACACGGACATCTTTGAGGGGGTATTATTCAGTCTACCATGCTGCCCAATACAGAGTAGGAGATTAATAAATTCTCCTTTAGTTTACTTAACTACCATTCCTCTAAGTGTGCTAATATTTTAAATCAAAGCATGAAAGAAATTCAATGCATAACCATTCCTTTTCCTTTTCCCTTTCTATTTCCAATAATTGGGTCTTTTGCTAATCACTTGAAACTTACATTTGTGGCAGATATGAAAACGCACTTGAACAGTTGAGAAATACAGAAATATGTGATTTCAGTTGCCAGCTCAATCTCTTCTTGCTAAGCCTCAGAAACTTGACATTTGAAAGAGAAAAGCCGTGTAATAATACCACTTTGTAAAATGTTCTTCCAGTTTGGGAACATGGGATTTTATTTACAAGTTTCCAGACGTCCCCTCATCGAGCTTTAGAACAGGAAGCCAAATACAAACCTTGAGTTTCATGGAAAGGATGGCGACAAGGATTCTCTAATTCTTTACATGCTCTTTGAGAAAATGTTTAAACAGAAAAAACACATGATGGCCTTTCTGAGTTAAAACAGTTCCAACTGCTTCAACAGATCACTGCACAAGAATGAGCAACCACTTATTGAAATTCTGCCTACTGGAAGCACCTCTAGTGCCCTCTTGCTCATGGAAAAGTCTGTGATATTAATCAGCTTTGGCTTTACAAAAGCTAGTGCCAAACATAAAAAGCTCAGTGCTGAGACAATGTGATCCCCACGTGAGAACGGCACCAGTGAATCCCTGACATTGTCTGGATGGCCCCAGTGAGTCCAATCCCCTTCCACCAATACTCTCTACCTTCTCTGTTGCCCTGTTCTTGGATGTCTAATCTACAGTGAACTCCACGAACTTCTGTGTATCTGGAGTTGGTGTTAAGTAACTAGACATGTCGAGGTATTGCCACAGGTCCATAATCCTTTATCTGAAAATCTTGGCAGCCATGTTTTCAGGAGTTGAGGATTTTTAGAAAAGAAACACAGTAAATACTGTATATTAAGTTTAGCACCCCCAATGGGGGTGGGTCAGTATCCCTTAATATTTCTGCAGTAAAACAGATAAATATTCTCACTAAGCAAAATGAACTGAGATGATATTAAAACTTTGCCATCAACTCAGGTCAGCTTTTTTTGCCTACTTTGTTTTAGAATTAAACTCAGTAAAAAAGGATTCAATATTCAGAACCTTTTGGATTTTAGAATTTCAGAGAAAGAATTATGGACCTACATTACAAGGTGTTGTTGTTTACCACCCAAATGGAATCAGTAAAAACTCCAAACTCCTAGAATCATAGGCTAGAACAGTGGCATGAGTTTTAGTAATGTAGTGCCTCCACCTCGTGTTACTATCAGGGAATTGTAGCACAAAGCATGTGTGTGTGTGTGTGTGTGTGTGTGTGTGTTGGGCGCTCAGCCGTATCCGGCTGTTTGCGACCCATGGACTGTAGCCTTCCACGTTCCTCTGCCCTTGGGATTCTCCAGGCAAGAATACTAGAGTGGGTTGCCATTCCCTTCTCCAGGGGATCGTCCCGACCCAGGGATTGAACCCAGGTCTCCTGCATTGCAGGCAGATTCTTTACCATCTTGGCCACCAGGGAAGCCCAGCACAAGCATACAAGTGGTTTCATGATGTTGTAAATGTCTCTGGAACCTTACGCTTTTGACATGAGACAGAACTAGGTTGAAGTCAGCTCTAACTAAATGTGTTGTCTTGGCAAATTTATGCCCAGCCTTACACCCCAGATTACATGATTCCCTCTGTTTAGGGAAAGCCCTCCTCACTCACAGGGCTGTTAGGAGCATTGACTCAGCAAAAGCAGATGCAGTGCTTGGCACAGGGAGCGGCACATAATAAACACTCAATAAAAGTCAACCACTGCAATGGCAGCCCACTCCAGTACTCTTGCCTGGAGAATTCCAAGGACAGAAGGGCCTGGTGGGCTATAGTCCATGGGATCACAAAGAGTCAGACACAACTGTGCAACTAACTAACTACCCTTAGAGTGATCTCTATGATGTTTATTGATCTAATTCAGTTAAGTGTTTACTGAATTCCTCCCTGCAGGGCACTGTACTAGGTCACAGGGGTGAACAAGGCAGACATATCTGCCCATTACCCTGTAAACAATTTCAGGGATTCTCATATTTCTGTTAAGAGTATGGAGCACTGTCCCTGACACAAAGCAGACACTTGATATACATTTCCTGGGTTGAATTAAACACAAAGTGCTCACAATCAAGAAGGGGATTTAATAATGCCAAGAGTGAAGAATGTAAGAAATATTCTAAGAGTTTCTCAAAGCACTATGAGAATTTAAAGAAAAAAAAAAATTTTTTTGTCCTGAAATAGGGACTCTAAAGAAGAGAACACGTTTGTGCTAGACCTTGCGCTGTGTGCTGTGCCTAGTCCTTCAGTCGTGTCCGACTCTTTGCAACTCCGTGGACTGTAGCCCACCAGGCTCATCTGTCCTTGGGGATTCTCCAGGCAAGAATACTGGAGTGGGTTGCCATGCTCTCCTCCAGGGATCTTCCTGACCCAGGGATCGAACCCAGGTCTCCCGCACTGCAGGCAGATTCTTTATCATCTGAACCACCTGTGCGAGACCTTAAACGTATACAAAACATTGCACAGGTATAGTTGGGAATTTCTTTTAAAAAGTCATTCCAGGCAGGAGGAAGAACTTAAAACTTTTTCTTCAAAAGTGGAAAATTACATAGCATGTTTAGTAAGTAGTGGGTTATGTGCTTAGGGCATTGTGTGGAGGAATTGCATAGACCATATGCATGGGGAAATTTCAGCCTGGAATGCCTCAGAGGTGAGTCAAGACTAAGTCAAGTAAAACCTGAAATGATATATGAAGGAGTTTAGATGACTAAAAAACTTTTATGTTGCTTTGTTTTAGCAGGAGATGATGCAAGCCAGCATGTCTTGGGCCAAGCTTTCGGAAAATTGCTGTGGTAGCATTTTGCACGAAGGATTAAAGGACAAAGAAAGAGAGTGAGTGTAGGTATATTCGTCAAGGGCATATCAAAAAGCCCTTGATGAGGATGATAAACATCTAAACCAGGGCAAGGAGAGAGAAGATGACTGGAGCGGGCAGGGGGAAGAAGTTAAAGAGGCATAAGAAGAATGGATCAGATTTGGCAACTAGTAAGATGTAAGAAGATAAGAAAAAAGAAGACTCAAAGATTACTCTTAGCTTTTAATCCTTGAAGGCGATGAGAGTGGCAAACAAAACAGAGGGTACAGATGATAGACTAAGACGGTGGGAAATGACAAGTTAATTTTTAAACTGAGCAACAAATCACCTCCTGTTCAAAGTCAAAAAATAAAATTGGCCGCTGATGCCAAGAAAGGAGACCTTTAACCAAGAGCAGTTAAAAACAGGGCCTAATGTCTTTAGAATCCAGTCATGGGCCTGCTAAACTTGTATGTTCCTTATCTGGGGGAAGCAACTTGAAAGCCATGGTGTGGTGCATCCGTAAGCTGGGCTTCCGTTTCACAATGCAGAGGTTTCCCCCCGCCGCTACACAGAAAGCAAGTGCACAGGTCCACCTAGGAGCTGTTATCACAGACTGTTCTCACTACATTTGTTGTTGCTGTTGTATCCAGGAAAGCAGATAACTTAATCAAGAAGAACCTCTGTTTCAATGCTGTCTCTTTGAAGTGCAAGTGTGGTGAGGCAACCTGGAAGTTGTGAGATGCTGGGAGAACATTCCTCCCAAATCCTGCACATCAAGCACCTCCTTGCCTCACCCCATCCCAACCCTAGGAGTCGTGGGAAACCTTATCCAGAGCAAAGGAGCAATAAAAGTTCTTTATGAAGAAGCCATTTCATTGTCATGCAGGGGTTACAAAACTTATTTTCTATAAAGGACCATGTGGCAAACATTTCAGGTTTTGCAAGCTGGACAGTCTTTGCCCCCAACTATTCAACGCTGCCATAGTAGTGGGAAAGCAACTACAGACTACACATAATGAAGGGGTACAGTTGTACTGCAAATAAAACTTTATTTATAAAAATAGGGATCAGGTCAAGTTTGGGTCTCAGGTCACAGTTTGCCAACTCCCGTTGTGTGGAAGGAGTTAGCCAAACCTTAGGCTTAAATTCCAGACCCACCCAAAAATACAAACTTAACAAAATATCTGGATTTGAACATGCACATCTGTAAAATGTGGTACTTATACTTTCCTCGTTGATTTGTGGGGTTTAGAGAAAATGTATGCAAAATGCTTCATAAATAATAGGCTTTCAAATAGGGCAATAGTCTTTTTCATTACAAGGCATAAGACAAATAATAACTAACACTTTGAATGCTTTTCTGCTATACCAACTGCTGTGTAAAGCACTTTAAAAGACTGTTTCATTTACTCTTCCAACAACACTTGGAAGTAGGAGCTATTACAGTATCCCTTTCTCCTCATGGGGAAACTGAGGCACCAAGCGAGGTCCATGAGATGCTCACAAAGATAGTAAGTGAAATCTCTGGCACTTAATCCAAAGTGAACAGATTCCAGGGCCTCTGGGGCCAACCTCTGTGCTAGCTAATTAACTCCACTAATTCAGCTCCAGTTGAAATGCTCAGAATCTTCTCAAGTTCTGCAGGGCTTTTCGTGACTTATCACAGCATAACACAACTGAAAATAGATTATACACAACCTTTGGAAATTCACCTTCAGGCCAATACTCAAGTAACATTTTACATAAGTAAGACACTTATTCCAACCTACTTCCTGCCCATCTATTTCCACCCCTCCCAACAAAGATCTCCAGTTGAGGGAAACCAGAATAATACTGGAAAAGCTAATGGAAACCCATTTCAAAAAATTTATCCTATAATCACTCTAAAAACTTGCAATCTCAAAGCTACGCTGAAGAATAGCATCCTGGATTAATTATGCCAGACTGCAGCAATAACCTTGAATTAAAGCTGCAACCTTCTATTTTTAAGAAACACTTGCCTTTCTGGTTGATGAAACCTGTCGTCCCATCAGGTAACAGACGTGACCAGGAAAGAGAGAAGCGGTAATGAGTCAATCCAAGCTGTTTGATACATTTCAAATCTTCCTCCCACAGAGTGTAGCTGCCACAAGCTACATCGCCAGTCTGGTTCTTGAAAACTCTCTCTCCTCCCTGATGGGTGAATGTGTCCCAGACACAAGGGCCTTTTCCATCTGCATCCCAGCCTCCTGAGAAAAAGAAGAAAATGAAACTGTTACACTCTTGACATCAAGAGGCATATGTGGAATGTAAATATTTGTCACCAAAAGAACATCCCTCATTAACTCAATGTACCATATTGATAACTTTAAAATATGCCTTTAAAATAACATGCATGAGTGGGTTATGTGTTCAGCTGTCCTTGATCCCTGAAGCTGACTGGTGGCAAATGAAAAATTATTGCATAATGCCGCAGCATAGCAGGCTTTCACGGTTCATTATCTGAAGATCTCCCAGCTGGTAGACAGAGGCAGGGCTCAGTTTATGAGTGTCTGAATTGAAAACATCTCCTTCCTGTGAACATTTCTCCTGGCCCTGACAGACACACCTTGTCCTCATTGTGCATAAAGCAGTCTTGGGACTCTATCTTTGACTCTTGACACCTGAATCCTATCTTCCTGTCATCTAGCCATGGAGCCTGAGATGGTCCAGTCAGCTATTGTGGGAAGGGTGTTAGTTCCTGCCATTGTTGAGATGATAAAAGTATCCTACATTCATTCATTCACACCTCCCTTAATTCAACACATGCTCTGTATCAGGCTCCAAGCTAAGCTTAGTGGATACCAGGGTGAACTCCGCTGCAATTCTTGTCCTTGTCAATTACATGAAATTATAAAACAGCCAATGTAATGGTTCCTGCAAGAAAGCCAGGGAGAGGTGTTTATCCAGATGTGGGCAAGAGTCAGAAAATTCTTAGAGAAGACACTCCTAGACTGAAATCTAGAGGAGATGTTGACTCATCAAAGTGAAATGCTAGGAGGTAGGGGTTAGAGAAAATAGAAAAAAAAGAGGAGCTAGGAACAGAATAAGCCCAGAAGTAAGAGAGAACATCACACATTAGAGGGACAGAAAGCAAAAATTACATTAGATTTGAAATATCTGTTCACACAGAAATTTTGTCTAAAATGGAAGTTAGAGTCCATTTTACGGTACAAACGATTGATTTTTTTAAAATCTCATGACTCTTTAATTCCACTTCTAAGGGCATACCCTGAAAGTATGCTCATATATTTCCGCAAAAAGATTATATGGGATTATTGAGGAAGGTTTTTCTGTCACAGCAAAATCCTAGAAACAACCCATGTCCTACCAACAGAACAGATAATTAATTTTAGGTATATTCACAGAGAGGAAACACAAATAAGTTGTTACAGTGAATGAATCAGAGCATAGATAACCCTCTGCTCTGCTCTGACTGTTTGTGTCCCCCCAGATTCAGAGGTGGAAATCCTAACACCCAATATGATGATTTGGGGAGGAACTTAAGTCAGGAGAGTGGAGCGTTCGTGAATGAGATTGCTGCTTCTAAAAGGAGGCCCCACAGCGCTCCCTACCTCCTTCTGCCCCGTGAGGATACAAGAAGCCTGTGATGAGGAAGAGGGTCTTCACCTGGCCATGCTGGCACCCTCACCCCAACTTACAGCATCCAGAACCGTGAGGAATAAACGTTCGTTGCTTACAAACCCCCTAGTTCACGGTCTTTGGTTAGAACAGTCCAAATGGACTAAGACACCCTCAAAACTATAATGTTAAGCTAAAGAAAAAATCAAGATTTGAAATACATAAACAGGAATGAATCCATGCAGCACGGGATTTTTATGGCAGTGAAACTACAAAAATTGTGCCTGCCTTTTCCTCTGGGCAGTGGGTCTGTTCCCCTAACCCCATGTTGTTCAAGGGTGGACTATATAATAGTGGATACATGACATTATACATTTGTCAAAACCCACACACTGTGAACTTCATTGAATAATAATGTATTAATATTTACCCATCATTTGGAACCAACGACCCACACTAATGCGAGGTAGGGGAAATTGAGGGACTGGGATACAGGAGAATTCTGTACTTTGTGCTCAATTTTTCTGTCGCTCTAAAATTGCTCTAAAACATAAAGTTTATTAATTTTTAAAAGATTATATACAGCACTGCATCATGTTTTATACAAAATACATAAAATCAAAGATGGATTTCCTGAACATATACATATGAGGTAGGCACACAACAGCATGCCTGGAGATGATCCGCTCAAGCTGGTGGCTGCCTTTGGGTAGAAAGGGGAGGGAAATGGAAACAAGCAGGACTCTGAGGGCCCTTGGCATCTCTTATGTTTCACTCCTTAAGCTGGCTAACGGGTGTCTAAGAGGCTGTTGATTACATTATACACGACAACTTTTATATACCTAAAATAGTTCAAAATGACTTTCACGCAAGAAAGGAAGTCACAGCTAGAGTAAAGAGACTAAAACAATTATAGGAAAGTTTTTTAGGTCTACATTAAGCATTAACTTTCTCATATTTTGTGCACAATTCTGATAGGATTAGACACAGTCTCCAGACCAACAAAAAGACAACATGCGCTATAATTTACAGGAGAGAACCGTGGGGACACAGGAAGACTGCTAAAAGAAGGAGCTCTGACAATAGCAAAAGTGACAGTTGATATCAAGACAGAGTATTAAAGATCTATACAAAGAAATTATGAATATTACAAATTATTATACTTTGGAGCCATATCAGACAGAGGCAGAAAGCTTTATACATCCCAATGGCTCTCAAGTTATGTCTATATATGGGACTTAGAGGGAAAAAGAAAAAGAATACTGATATTCAATCTTAGAATGAAATAGGTATGAATACTAAAATACAACTTCAGTGAAGCATGGTATTCACAGTTTGAATAATTGATTTACAATAAATGAAGAAGCTTAATCTCAGAGAGTTTAGGCAGCTATGTGTTGGTAAATATTAACAACTGATTGTATATTTTAAAACATATATACCATTATGTATACATATTTATTATAAATTATATTGGTATAGAGGTATATTGGGATAAAGGATGTATAATATACAATTTGCAAATAACAATATGCAATGCTCTTTAGTGTATATTCCTTATAGCCAATTGAGTCTCACAGAATACTTGTTTAGATTTTTGCCAAACTCTTATATGGGGAGCCAATCTACAATATACAACCTGACAAATGTGAGTAGTTCTCATGTAACTGTTGACTGGTATCTTTGCTTAAATTAATGGATACAATGAAAGGAAAATGATAATATATCAGAATTTCACTTGTTCATCAGTGACATGAGCAATTTTCTTGCTAAATTGGTAATAGTTTACAAACACTGGAAGAATATTTCCTTGATTTTTTTGTCCTGCTCACAATGTAACAGTTACATGCATACTACACATTCATTTACTCTGCATTATTTACATTTTATCTGCCACTTTCTTGAGTCCAGGCAACCAACAAAATAATAAATCAAATGCTGACTTGTAGCACTTGCCAATTTCTGTGGTGTAAATACTTACACATGGCCAATTTCAAGCACCTGCTAGGATAGCACTGAAGGCAGAGTTGCAAGATGAACAATGGCATATCATTAGACAGTATTTCTTCTATACAGGTACAAGTAGCCTCAAGGGCATAGCTAATAATAAAATGTGTTAAAATAATTAGGAGATAAGGATTTGAATATTTATTATCTTTGTTTTTAATATAAATTATTTATTTATGTTTATGTAATTGAATCTTTAATACTGGCTATATATTTAAGAATCAGCTCATAGGGGATTTTCCTGGTTGTCCAGTGGTTAAGAATCCACCTTTCAACGTAAGGGACGTGGGTTCAATCCTTGGTCAGGGAAATAAGATTCCACATTGCCACAGGGCAACTAAACCTGAGCACTGCAACTGCTTAGCCTGTATATTCTAGAGGCCCAGAGCCACTGTAGAGAAGCCCAAACACTGAAGTAAAGAACCCATACACTGCAACAAAAGATCCTACATGCCACAACAAAAATCCTATGTGCTGTAACTAAGACCTCATGCAGCCAAACAAATTAAATTAAATTAAAAAGAATCAGCTTGTAAAATTGATGAAAATTTAACAGTGGGCACTGGTGAGCCAGTACAAGCTGGCCTCACATATCACCAATAAGTACTTACCTAAGACAACACTTTTCAGTAAGTAGTAGAACCAAGATATGGGGACTTCTCTGGTGGCTCAGTGATAAAGAATCCACCTGCAACGCAGTAGCCACAGGAGATGCAGGTTTGATCCCTAGGTTGGGAAGATCTCCTAGAGGAAGGCATGACAATCCACTCCAGTATTCTTGCCTGGAGAATCCCATAGACAGAGGAGCCTGGCAGGCTACAGTCCACAGGGTTGCAAAGAGTCAGACATGACTGAAGCAACTTGGCATGCACAGAACCCAAGAGGTGTTTCCAGACTTGTATGATACTGAAGTTCAAGTCCTTCCATTGGACCACACTGCTCTTAGTAATAAAGCCTGACTGATGAGTCAACTTATACCCATGCTACTCAATATATGAAGCATTAGAAATGAATAACTTGACATGCATTTTGGAAGACAGCCCTTCTTAAGTGCTTACAGTAAGTTTTGACAATTTTAATAGGTCAATGTCAGCAGGAAAATTCACTTATGTGGATAGTTTATTCTAGGTGTATACCAGATGAAACATGTATAAGCAACATTGTTTCTATGAGAACCAGAACATGAATCAAAAATTAGCCATTATAGTTGAAATTTTGATAAAAGAAAATATATATAGTGGCCTTTTAAAAATATATATAGTATACTAACAATGAAAAATCATAAAGAGAAATTAAGGAATCAATTCCATTCACCATGCATCTGCCTGCAATGCAGGAGACCCAGGTTCGATCCCCATATCCAGAAGATCCCCTGGTGAAGAAAATGGCAACCCACTCCAGTACTCTTGCCTAGAAAATTCCATGGACAGAGGAGCCTGGTAGGCTACAGTCCTTGCAGTCACAAAGAGTCAGACATGACTGAGCGACTTCACTTTCTTTCACTTTCCATTCATCACTGCAACAAAAAGAATTAAATATCTAGGAATAAGCTTACCTAAGGAGACAAAAGAACTGTACACAGAAAATTATAAGAAACTGATGAAAGAAATCAAAGACAACA